AATGCCCATGAAAAATGCTTCATTTCACATTACTGCCTAACTTTTTTGTGAAACGAATAATGCCGCGAACAGAATTTTCAGATACAGGGCTATGTTGAAAATTCTCACTTTTTGAAAATCTCCCGTATCATCGTTAATTTTCATATCTATATATTTCTGTAATCGCTCATTATTAGAGAATGAAGCCAAAACAATTTTTTTCAAATGGGACACCCTCTATATTTTTACCCAGTTCGAATCAGATTTCCTCTAGCTCATCAAAAATATGTAATAGTTAGTTAACATTTATTTTTTTCAAATCTTTCTCTGGCTCAATTTTCCGAAAATGAGCAATTACAAAAATACAATGAGTATGCCACTGTATTATAGGTAGGAAGTTATATAAGGCCCCGTTTATATCCTGCGATAAGTTGAAAACTAACCAAGATACGGAAGTTGCTCAAAAAGTGAGAATTTACAACTTCGCCATTTATCACATGAAACATGAAAAAAGTAAGGAAGTAATGTAAAAACCGCAACACTCTGTCTCCAAAGACAACAGATATCGCGCAAAACATCTAAAACTGGACACACTGTACAGGGTGGGTCAAATTGGCCACTTTTAAAGGAAAAGTCCTATTCTCCAACTAGATAGAAGAAAACTGAAGCCTGAGCGTCGATTCTTATGCAATACTCAGTGGTGAAAACCACATATCGATATCTGTCTTCGTTTCGGAATTACAAGGTGTTCTTCGAAATGGCCATTGTTCAAAAGTGGCTACAAATATTTTTTTTTTTCAAAAATTGTATGTTTTCATGAAAATAACTACAAAGCATTGAGTTGGTGATAACAATCATTAATTAGGCACTGGAATCGGCGTTCCTATACCTTGTTCAAGAATATAACTTGTTCTTCTCGAAGGAAAAGTTCTATTTTGAAACTAGGTATATGGTGACTGATTTCAGTGCCTGAGGATCAATTTCCATGACAAATACAATGCTTTGGAAATGTTTTGATGAAAACGAAGAATTTTTGCCAAAAAATAAGTTTCAGCCACTTCTCAAAAATTCATATTTTCGAAAAACATCTTTCAATGTAACTCTGAAACTAGGATAGATATCGATATGCAGTTTTCACCATGTGAATTGATCAACAGGCACCAACATCAGTTTCTTTCTATCTAGTACTGGAATAGGACTTCCCTTTGAAAGTGTCCAATTTGACCCACCCTGTACAGTGCTCGGTATGCTGTGTTCCGTTTTCAAAGTTTTTGCGTGATATCTCCATTATCTTTGGAGATTGAATCAATCTTGCGGTTTTCGCGATCCTGTGCCACTTTTTTGTGAAACTCAAGATGGCCTTATCAGATTTTGCTAAACTGATTCCATTTATGAGATACATGGCAATTTTGAAAATTTATACTTCTTTGGACCCTTTCTATATCTACGAAGTTTCTCAGTGAAATTGTCAAATCAAATTCTTATCCCATAGAGATTTTTACGCAAAATCCAGTGGTGTACACATTTTTTTTTTCGGGGTATGGTTTTGGAGATTCGACCGAAACTTATGATTTTTCAAATGGAATATTCTGTATTTTATGAGCTCATCAAATTCCTTACTTTTCCTACTTTAAAATGGTATATAATGTATAAATACAAAATTTCGAAAAAATGCACCAAAATATCTACAACATTGAATTTTAATAGTGATGGATTTTTCATATAAAAAGTTCCAATTGAAGGAACATGTATTTTGATTTTTCCATGGAGTGGACAGGAACACCACACTAATTAACTAACAAAACACAAAACTTAGATACCTGATAGCAACAATTTAATAGTGATAAAAAGTTCATTATGTAGAATAAGCACCTGATTAAATATTTACTAAAACTGTTGAATTTCGGAATTATTCAGTAACTTATTCATTGAATTGTTCAAATTGATGTCCATTTTCCGACCATTTTCCATAACACACAATTGACACACTTTGTCAATACAGAAAGAGACAAAACAATCTTAAAGAACCTGGTGCAACAACAGAGGCGGTTTTCTAGAAATTACAAAGACCTCCTTTAATGATTTTGAATGCAATAAGACGTATTGAGAAAGTTTGTGAGGGAAAATGGACATCAATTTAAACAATTCAATGAAGGAGTCAGTGAATCTAAACTCCGCGAAATTGAATTGTTTTAGTAAATATTTAATCAGGTGCTTATTCTACATTTTGAACTTTTTATTAACATTTATTTGTTGCTATCAGGTACCTGTTTTGTGTTGTGTTTTGTTGTTAGTTAATTAGTGTTGGTATAGTTTTTGTCTTCTTCATAGAAAAATCAAAAGAAATATTGCTTCAATTGGAAACTTTCTGATATGGAAAATCCATAGCCCACTATTAAAATTCAATGTTTTAGTCCATTTTTCAACATTTTATATTCATACATTATGTAATATTTTGAAAGGAAAATAATGAAATTTAATGAGCTTATAAAATACAGTGTTCCATATGAAAAATCATAAGTTTGAGTCGTATCTTCAAAACCATACCCCGAACAAAAAATTGAGTGCGGCACTGGATTCTGCTCAAAATTATCTATGGGATAAGATTTTAATTTGACAATTCTGCTCAGAAACTTCGTAGATATAGAGGGGGTCCAAAATGTATACATTTTCAAAATTGCCCTGTATCTCATAAACGGAAACAGTTATGCAAAATCTGATTAGTCCATCTTGAGTTTCACAAAGACGTGGCACACAGGACCGCGAAAACCGCAAGGTTCTCTTCAGTTGTTCATCTCCCGGAATAGTCATTTTTCCTCGAACATAACCAGACGAACCTGGTTAACTTCAAGATGACGTCTTGACGTCAAGGTAACTTTATTATGACGTCACGGTTTACTTATGAAGCTTGACAGATGTCAGTTTATCAGCTGTTTTTGTTTATTGTTCTGTTTTCGTAGTAATACTTATATATTCAATAAGAAATTCATCATCTATAACAAAAATATATCAGTACTATTAGGTATATTATGGAAACTAGGTACTTAGCTTACCTACTTCAACTTCAAGAAAAGTGTAATAATTTGCTATGTACATATATACAATGAATCAAATATTTGTTTTCATCATTAATATGATGAGATCTCTTATTGAAAAATACTCCGTGTAAATCCGTAATTATCTCTTATTTTTTCTTATCAATTATACAGGATTATATATTATTCAAGAAGCCGATTATTCGACCCATTTCAAGAATTGAACTTCATATGAACGTGTCTCGAAAACGTCCTAACTTTTGAAAATATGCATAGATTGTTTTTTGTCCACGCTGTATCTTTTCGTGATGGCAGAATTCAGTCTGCTATGTGACTGAATCGGTATGAACATTTCGAAATGTTACATACTGTGGTTATCCAGTAATGGATGTCCTGAATTGAGTACTCAGATATCAAATTCAGAAGTCTGGTCTCGTTTTTCCGTTTTTCTCTCAAACGTAGCGTTCTACCGAGTATTAACAGGAGGATGTTTTTTGTACATAATTGAATAGCCTTTCATTGCATTGTATGAAATTTGAAAATTTTTCGTCGCTGCTCACTTTTAAGAAAAATATAAACAATAATATTCCCGTAACGGTGCCACCTGATAGAGAAAATGAAAATGTTTGTACATAAGAAAATGCACCTTGATGCACAAAAGACGTGTCTTTTATGCATGTATGTTATTATAAAAAAAATAATATTTTTCAAAATTTCATCACCCTGTATCTCAAAAGTTAGGACTTTTAGGACATACGTTCATGTGAAGTTTCCTCCTTGATAGAATGAGTCAAGGAATCACCTCTTCAAATATTAGCATGTCTTTAAGGACGCCCTGTAGAACCCCAGATTATAACAACAACAAGAGCCCAATAGGTCGCGTGCACGATGACCGACCCTGGAGGCAAAATATTGAAACACAACCTCACTTCTGTGAATTATTGAAACACAACCTCACTTTTTTATTTGTTTGCAGAGGAATCAAAAGGTTCAAATACTTTTTCACAATATTTTGGCATACGAATCGTGTTTGTTGCGTTATTCGATAATTCAAGCATGCCTACGCATTGTGCTGTTGTACAATGCACAAAAAATGCAGCAAGAGACTAGGGAATATGATTTTTCAGGTAAATAGTAATCTCACATAGTTATCATTATGAAATGTTGTCATTCCTTATTAAAATTCCTTCTGCCTTCTGCAATACAAGCTAATACTGCTAATATATTGAAAATGTCTACCACACACGATCATCAGCATGTCAGACCAGTCCTCCCGATTGATTGCATGAATCCAATCTTCTTGCATTATTTTAGAAATTTCAGGTATATTTCTATTAGCTCCTATTGCAGAAGGAATTCTGATGAGAAATCAGAGAAATAACCAAATTTCAAAAATGAAAACTATATGTGAGTGACTATAGTAGGTACTTACTTTTAAATCATAATGTACCATCCGAATTCCTCCATCTTCTGCTGCAGTTTTTGTGCATTTTACAACAGCACAATGTGATGGTATGAGCAAATTGATGAATAGCGGAAAAATACGATTCATATGCCAAAATAATTGTGGAAAACTATTTCGATCACTTGTAAACAAATAAGAAAAGTGACGTTGTGTTTCAATGTTTTGCCTCCAGCGTCGGTCATCTGACAGTTCTTGCACGCAACCCATTCAGTGCCCATTCAAAAGCCTTAACTACTCCGTGAACTACAACTACCTCAGTGAGCTGGTTTGTATGGTTGGTTAACTATTACGTCATAGTTTGGAATACACTTCCAGGGAAATTGACTGGTTTACTTATTGTTGGCCCGGTTTGTGTGGATAACTTCGAGAAAAAATTACTAATATAAGAAAAATTTAAAAAAAAACGTACTGAAACCACCAGGAGTTGCAGATGTTGATGGAATCCCCGCAAGCCTTTTCCACCCCTCAGCAGCAGCAGCAGCAACAGCCGACCGTCCCCGAGTGGCTCGTCCGGTGATATCATGGCCAACACGACCGCTGCCGACGGCGAGCCGGACTCGGGAGGCGCCGCGACGACGGCGAGGGGCGCCGCCATGCCCGACGACGCCGAACCGACTGACTCGGACAGGGTGACGGGGTCGAATACCGGATACGAGGGAGAAGGCATGTACCGTATAGTCTAGATGGTCTAGAGATCTTATTTATTTTATGCTTTTTTTTTACCACTAGCTATAGAACCTACTATAATACTCACTATTTCCTACTCTGCATCAAGACGATCAATACCAAACTAGTTTTGCTTTAGTTTTCACATGAGGCCATGTTGTTGAATCTCTCTCTCTCTCTCTAAATCGTCTAGTCGCAAATTTTTGTACAGTGATGAGGGGAAGTACTGTGAACAACATACTTAAAGTCCTCAATAGGCGAGTGGATTAATTTTTTTATTTCTTAAATAGAATCATCACTCAAATACCTTGCAGTTTCAATATTTTTAGAATTTTTTGGTCGATTTTAAGGTGCTTGAATCATCAATAATGCCAGGGTAATTCTCAAACGGCTATAAATTTACCGCCACTAAAAACTGACGTCTCGATTTCGTGAGTAGAGGCAGACCATAGCACAGTTGCCATATGTTGAAATACGATTGGGAACTCGAGAAATATTAGTTATTCAATAATTCATAAATTCTCAATTATGTATTGTTGATATTCCTAAATAGCAATAAAAAATCAATTGTCTCAAAATTGTCCCTTATGTGTTGTGGCTTATTGCTCATAACACATTTGTGTAAAAAATAATTATAATCATTCACACTAGAGGACATTCAAACTGGTGAACGTGACAACACGGCGCACGAATTACGGCGGTGTCTCAGCATTCAGCACTATCTTGCCAAATCTCCAACATTCACATGATATTTCGTTATGAAGTATAAGAAATATTTGAACGTGCTGGTTCCTCGAAAATGTCAAGAATGGACTATAATATCATGGTTTCCTCCTATTATGGTTTATGCAACGACAGGGCTCTAACATCTTTTTGATAACTTGATTGTAATTGGTAACTTGGCAACCTTGCTTCATGAGTGGGAATAGAACATTCTCTGACCAATAACGAAACAGCATAAAAGCTGGCGTCACCATTTATTCGGCGTATCCTTGAACATGGCAAAATTGCGGTCATGACGGACGTCTGGAATGAGCTCTGAAAATCAACGATTTTGAACAGCTTAGGTCCCCAACGACACAGTGGAGTAACTGAATGCCAATAATTCATTATCAGTCCACTCGCCCATCGAGAGATGTATCATATTTAATCGTGCATATACATATAGTACGAGATCCGACTACAAAACCTCAATACGCGGCTGGCTGGCAAGGTGGACGCAAGAAAGACATCAGGCATACTGGAACAACGTTCCAGGACAAAGACACAGCAAACAGATGGTTGAAATACTGTCCAGAATAGTGACTTATGACGACATTCTGAGCCTAAACAGAAGTCAGATCAGACAAGTGACGGGACTAATAAGCGGTCATTGCCCCTTGAGAAGCATATGCATCAAATGGGCATCTATACAGACGAACCCATATGCAGACTATGCAATCAGGAGGAAGAAACGGCCGGATAGGAATGGTTGGCGTCTACGAGATGTCATGAGGAGACAGTTGTCAAATGATAGATTGATTTGAAGTGTGAATAAAAACATCACGATTTACTGATTATCTTATATCAAACACTCAACATTAGCTGAATACCAGTACACCACCCATGTAATATTGGAGTGCGAGGCACTAGCGCATGATTTGATTCAGTTTTCTTTTACATAAGTATTCGAGGTACAATGACTCACGAGTGATATTGCACGAGAAACTATCTTTCGATCTATATATCTTCACCAGCTGGCAACCCCTATTTGCGCCCATATTTGCATTACCAGAGTTATTCTATCATGCACAAAAAAATCAGCTTTCATTTCATATAAAAATTATGAACCTATAAATGTAACAAAATTATACTTATTCATTCCTGGCTGCAAAGTGGTCGCGGCCAAGTGCGTAACGGCAACCATCACTTTTGGAGTTCTCTAGATACATAGCTGTAAGGTAGAATACATTTCATTTAAAAAACTGTTTTCGTTTCTGTCTTTTTGCAGTTGATTGGCTACTGGATACCTACATGGCTGTGTTTTCGATTTTGTATTCCACTTCCTCCGACTTCCTCATTGGCAGTTTATAAAACAAAAAATAATAATGAGTCACTAGAAGACTGTCGATGCTGTCATATAATAATTACAAAATCACAATGAAAACTTCAAACTTCTGCCAAAAACTTGATAGGTACACCATATTATTTTAAATTCCATAGACCCAACAATATTCGTTGAATTCTGAATAATTAATAAATTATAACATTGACATAACCTCACTTGAAGGAGAAAACGGCAAACGACCATAAAAAAAATAATGCTGTCTGTGACCGTCGACGCGTACCGTAGTCGCAAACCTACCGAACATATCTGTCTTATCCACAATGCTGAGTATTGCTTTGTTAGTTGCATAAGCGTTCTGTTGATGGTATATGGTTAATGGAGCGCGATGAAGCTGGGTGAATAGAGTTTATTTGTATTGAGAATGCTGTGGCAGGAAAACAAAGTTTGTTGATTGGAAAATAATAGTCAATAAACACATAAAATTAATGAAAAAAGCCGCTTTGGTAATTACAATGAAATGAGAAATGGAATTGAAGATCTAACGCCGCAAAATACCGTGCGATCGAAAAAATATATCTGGAAACAATTCACAAAATTTTGCAATCAACGAAATCACCAACTAAAAGAGAATACATCCGATGAAAAACTTGCGGATATCCTCACGGACTGGGCATTCAATATGCGTGAAAATTTTTTGCCAGAGTTAATAATTTTTTCTTGAAATAATCTTATCAAATACAACTCGTTCAATCGAAGATTATAGAAAAATTCCTTTCCTTTTTCGAAACAAACTATGTTGCTTGGCAATCACACGAGCGCATAGAGACCGGGATTCTCGGATTATTCAAGAACAAAAAAAATTAAATGATCTCTGAACGCTCCCCTACCCCGGTCATCCCCCATGGGTCAGGGCCTTCTTCTTCTTCCTTATTTATTTAACGTGGACCTTTTTCTGCTACTGAGGCTAATCATCGACGCCGGTGAGCACACTACCCCCAACTAAAATTTCAGATATCGAACGTATTAAAGTCATTTATTATTTGTTCTTTTTGAGTACAACACATATATCAGACACATTAATTTGTAGGAGGTGTTGACACCTGCAGGTGTGCCTGGGCGTCCCTTTATATAGGTAATCTCGCTGAAGGTACCCAAGAGGGTGGGGGAGCAGTTCAGCCGATCAGTATGGGGGAAGTCGCGCTTTTTTTGGAGGAAAAAAATTGGTAAAATTCGGAAAAACCTCCTTCTGGTTTTGGTCGTGCAGTTATACTGCACATTTCTGTGCAGCACATCTGCCCGAGAAAGATATCGAACGGCTAGTGCCTTACCTGAGAAGCCAGGGTGATGCCCAGGACCTTTATATGTTGTTTATGGTACTTCTTACTTCTCCTTACCACTCTAACTCTACAAGGATCTGCAACTACACGACTGTTGAGGCTCTCAAGATATTTCTTTATTTCACAAAATGGTGACAGCCACTATAAAAATAAAATATCCTTCCATTTTCTTAGTTGTGCCTAAATGTTGAGGAATTATTAATAGGTGCAGTGAAGTGTACCCGATGCGACTTCGAGGCTGCCAGCCAGACACTGTTGACCGTACACATAAACCAAGTACACACGACGACCAACGAGGCTCAGGAAATGGAGGTTGAGAACAATAATACGCAACCAGATCGGGTAGGTAAAATTATTATTAATGTTCGAGCAAAACAAAGCCATTCTTTGTTGTGTTGTGCATTGACGAAATATTTTCGAATCAATGGGGAAGTTTTCTATATTGAGGTTTTTATCTCACTGTGAAGTTTGTAAAAAATTAATATATACGTTCTTTTTCTTTTTTCGTAAGATCAAATTTCACTTCAGAAAAAAATAAATATAAAAGGAACTTGGCTCCTCCGCCATTCCTATGACGTACTTTCTGAAAATCCACATTCAATACGATTCCCTGTGCCAGTACGACGTTGCCGACATCATCAATATGTCTAGATTTCCGGAAATTGTTCTTTGAATGCATAATAACTATATCATAACTCAATCCTACTCTGTCAAGTATTATGAATATTTCCCATTAATCTCTCATTGGCTGAATGAGGTTGATTACTAATAAAGATAAATTATGATATTTTGCGATAGTATCTTACGATTTTTCACTATCGTTATATTACAATTTGTTATTCATAACTTGTCAGTCATTTTTTTGGTAATAAATTCGTTCCTTAATAAAGCGGATCTATTTTCTTGGAAAATTGCAGATTATATCTTGCAACTGCGCCTAATACTTCGAGTCCGTCCACACCACTCAAAATACTGACAGGCACAACAAGAGAAAGTAGCGATGGGTGTTGGCTTCATTTTGTTCTGACCGATGCCAGTAAATTAGGAAGCATAGTATCATTGAATGTAGCCGATAGTGATTCATTGATTCAATGATATTTTCGTTTAGGATCGAACTCTATTCCAGATATTTCAATGCATAAATAAAAAAAACATAACCTGTCAGAATGAAACCAACTACCTTCTGTATCCCTGCTTCCAGTGCATTTGTGGTTATGTATGTTTTTGTTTATCAGTTTTACTTCTTCTATGCTTTCATTCGTTAGCTATTCGCTAGCTATATTCTTCACCATCAGCTATTTTCAGACTAGATTCAGAATGTACGTCATAGTTTGACACCCCGAAAATTAGAAATTGCTTTAATTTGAAAATGAAAACGACTTGGACTTTATCGGTCGCCATCCTGTACAGCGTGGACATAAAACTGGATAGTTCCGAACTTATTTCTTGAAAATTCACATGAAGGAAACTTCCTCATTATAGCAGTGTTCTTCTGGACTTTCTCAAAATTCAAAACTCCGTGATTATTTCAATATTGTTTGGTCTAGTTATTTGTGCTTAGTTCAACATGTGCTATTGAGGTACTTTTTACATCTTTTCTTGAATTCTGATGATAGCCGAGGGCCGAAAATACTTACGTTTTTAATTTTAATATGGTAGATTTATGTGGCCGAACGACTTGGCGTTGTATTTTGGTTTCTATTAAATTATAGGGATTCTATTTCGAGCGCTCCAAGAGATGAAAAAATTGGGTAAAACTGGATTTATCATGCGATGAGCTTTTTTCCGAAAAATGTTTTTGGTACTTTCGTATTTTTCTCTGAAAAACACGAATTTGATAATGAAAATGTGAAAAAAACATTATTTATCAAGATATTTCACTATAAAGTTACAAATTTCATCTTCTTTTCCGCCTGTCTTCTGGATCGCATTCAGAACAATTTGTCCTCCTTTTTTCATCATTGGATAATTGTGTGCTCCCCTTTTTTTTCTATTATACAGGGTGAGTCATGAGGAACTGTACATGCTCCTACTACGAATAGAGGCATCTGAGAGGAATACCAAATGACCATCAGAAAGTGTCTCCGCCTCTTCTAAAATAATCTATAGGGTGATTAATGAGATATGGCAAAAACTTCTTTCAATCATAACTTTCCAACAGTTCTTTCGATTTCTTTCATTTTTTCATGGATTATCATGCTGTCACTCAGCAATCAACTGACGTATTCAGAATCGTGAAAATCCAGGACCGGTCTTGAGAAATTCTGCCAATTTGGTCCATATAAAAAATTTCACCCTGTATGAGGTTTTAGTAAACTGTGATATGGAATTTCTGAAGTTGATGAACAGGCAACTGAAATGAAGTATTTCAAATTTTCCTCACAATTTCATTGAATTTCTTAAAAAATGATTAATTTAAACTACACACGAAACTTGGGCAATAAATGTATTAATTTGAAAATTAATACTTCGCAACGCATGAATTTCACGAATGAAAGTAGGGATAATATTCTCAATTCTTCAGCTCAACAATAATCAACATTCTTCTATTTCCAGGGTTGGATTCAGTAATTTTTTAGTAGAGAGTAATAATCACCAAAAATTACACCCTGTATATGGTTTTAGTAACCTGTGATATGGAATTGTCAAAGTTGATGAACTGGCAACCAAAATTAAGTATTTCAAATTTTCCTCAGAGTTTCACAGAATTTCTTAGAGTACGATCAATTTTCACTACACGTGAAACTTTCGCAACAAATGTATTAATTTGAAAATGAATACTTCGCACCGCTAGAATTTCACGAATAGAAGCAAGAATAACATCATTTCCTATTCTTCAGTTCACTGAAAATCAACATTCATCTATATCCAGGGTTGGATTCAGTAAATTTTTGGTACATGGTAATAATCACCAAAAATTGCACCCTGTATATGATTTTAATAAACTGTGACATGAAATGTTCGGAGTTGACAAACAAGAATCAGGAATAATTTTACCCTTACTTTTATTCGTGAAATGCATGCATTGCGAAGTATTAATTTTGAAATTAATACATTTGTTGCCCAAGTTTCGTGTGTAGTTTAAATTAATCATTTTCTAAGAAATTCAATGAAATTGTGAGGAAAATTTGAAATACTTCATTTTGGTTGCCTGTTCATCAACTTTAGAAATTCCATATCACAGTTTACTAAAACCTCATACAGAGTGAAATTTTTTATATGAACCAAATTGGCAGAATTTCTCAAGACCGGTCCTGGATTTTCACGATTCTGAATACGTCAGTTGATTGCTGAGTGACAGCATAATAATCCAAGAAAAAATGAAAGGAATCGAAAGAACTGTTGGAAAGTTATGATTGACAGAAGTTTTGGCCATATCCCATAAATCACCCTATAGATCATTTTAGAAGAGGCGGAGACACTTTCTGATGGTCATTTGGTATTCCCCTCAGCTGCCTCTATTCGTAGTAGGAGCATGTACAGTTCCTCATGACTCACCCTGTATGCTATCATTCAAAAGCAGTTTGTACACTAAATATGAAAAACTCGTCATATGATTCATATTTCCTGTTGGTTTTTCTATATAAAAATGTGTCATCAGACATCCTGTATAACTCACCAAAAAAAGAAATACGACTATCGTGTTGTGCAGGTGCTGCGCAAAATGTTCGAGTGCGACGTGTGCCAAATGAAGTTTTCGAACGGCGCCAATATGCGCCGCCACAAGATGCGCCACACCGGCGTCAAACCGTACGAGTGCCGGGTCTGCCAGAAGCGCTTCTTCCGCAAAGACCACCTTGCCGAGCACTTCACCACGCACACCAAGACGCTGCCCTACCACTGCCCGATCTGCAACAGGGGCTTCCAGAGGCAGATCGCGATGCGCGCGCATTTCCAGAACGAGCACGTCGGGCAGCACGATTTGGTGAAGAGCTGCCCGCTGTGCAGCTATCGGGCGGGGTCGATGAAGAGTCTGAGGATACACTTCTTCAACAGGTGAGGCGGCGTTTCGAAGGGTGAATTGCCAATTCAAAACATTATTTATTTACTGTAGAAGAAATACAAACAGAGCCATGAGGCCCTAATTACAAGATTTCTATTTCCTAAAACTAGAAACTAAATCTAAGTGAAACAGTAATATTTAAATTCATACTTAGCGATAAATACCTAACCAGATATACAAAAGTGTATACTCATATCAATATCTACCCGAAAAAGAAAGATAATAATAAAAAAAAATAAAAAAAAGGAAGGTATCAATTAAGTTTTAGTTACTTTTAGTGATATTAATTATCGACTAGCAAGAAAATGAGGAATTATATATATTCGAGAAAACCTGTTGGAATTTTGAAAATTATATGAATAATAACATCACTCAAGATCATTATGATGCACTCTTATTTCCTTTAATTCTCTTTGAAGTCATGAGGGTAACCGAGACTTGCCTTGATTACAGAAAGTCAGTATTTCGTATATTCAATTTAACTCCGTTATAGTTGAAATTGTAAATATCGACTGAGATTCTATCCGCATGTTTATTTACTGTTGCGCACATACTATCAATTATATTTGGAGACCTGGGAATATAAAAGAACGTGTTTCTTGGGCGAATCACATGTGAAGGAGCATATATTTTTAACTGTGAGAGAAGATACGAATCAGACACTTTATCACTTAGTAATTTGAAAATAAACATTATTTTTTGCCGAGTTCGTCTATTTTCCAACTTATCTATAAGAAAAGCTTTTCTATGTGGTTCATACGAAGAGTGACCCGGACCATAACCATATTTTTTGTAATGTAGGTAGGCAATAATAATAATTAAGCATAATAGTAATTGGAGTATCTTTACTGCACTTCAAAATGATCCTCATACTACGATTCTGTAGTTTTTGGAGTTGAGGCAATTTATTCTGATTGAACACCGTAGAAAGGTCGGGAACCTTTCACTTTTCTATCGATACTTCCACGGGAAATGTTCTTCGGAAATCTCTGCTATCATCCCTTCACTAGCAATACCAGTCAGATGAACTAGACAAGCCCAATCAGCACATCCTTTCGTTGTCAACCTCGAAAGATGTCGAACAGCACTTTATCAAAACTCCTTCATCCATAGAACGGCTAGGCTCTGGAATTCATTGCCTGAGAAATATTCCCAACAACATATAATCTCCAGAAGTTCTCCAGAAGTTCAAAAAAAAATCCAATACCTACCTCCTGTCCCTATCCTCCCTAGGAACGCACGATGTTCTTTGAACATTATAGGGATTTCCTTTCGTGCGCTCCAAGCGATAAAAAAAATTGACTTGTAAAATGTGATTCTTGACTCTGTTGAAAGATTATTGGAAATTCTGGAGAAAAAGAATGATTTCTTCGAAATTTTCTTATGAATATACTCAAAATGTTCATCAAACGATAAAGTGTTATCTACCTGAAATCCCAGATATTTAGTTATTTTAACTACTTCAATTCTTTCATCTTCAATGTTTAGGTTGGTATTTTTCGAGTTTATTTGGCTGTATTTATATTTGGTGTTGATTATCATCGCTTTTGTTTCCAATACATTCAACTTGAGTTTATTCATTTTCAAGTACTTGTAGACACTTGTTAAAGCAGTATTCATTTTGTGTATAGCCATTTCCAGGTTCTCATCACTGCATGCCAATATTGTATCATCCGCAAAAAAGTTCATGAATTCACATGCGACAAACAATGGCATGTCATTTAAATATGGTATGAATAGAAGGGGACTCAGAACACTACCCTGGGGAACTCCAACATCACTTATTTTCCAAAGAAAGTATAATTTTACGTAGATCTGTTAATGAAAGTAATCTGAATTCTGAGAAAGTTTTGTATGAATTATAGTTTTTATTGTACCACGACTGTATAGTTGATACTCTCAACAATTTCATTTATGCTTTCTACAAAATAACTGTTGAAGTAATCTGACATTTCGAATTCATCTCTTAGTTATTTAAGTTCGCCAGTTTTTTCAAACTGTATACAGTTTGGAAAGTCAATATCATCTTTAACAAGCTTTTTGAGGGTTTTCCACATTTGTCTAGAGGTATTTTTATACCGATCAATTTTTTCAAAATAATATTGGTCTTTTTTTCTTCTCAACACATTGACAACATCATTTCTCAATTTTTTGAATAATTCCCAATTATTTTGTTTTTCTGTATTTGCACAGTTTCTGAAGGCTCTGTAAGCACGATCACGATCCTTAATTTTACAGTGAACTTCATTATCAAACCATGGCAAATGACTGTTATGAGTACAATTTTGTATCGGAGAAACATCAATAATTGCTTTACAATTATTCACTATTTCTTGATAAATAATTTCTACATCAGTAGAATTTAGTGGCCATTCACATGATATTAAGTTCATTTTTATAGAGTCCAGATTATTTTCACTGAAGTTTCTATATTTTCCAAATTGTTTGATTTTCTTCATTATGGATATTAGTGAAGTTAACAGAGATTGTTGGATGGTCTGTTATTACTGGTTTAAAGTGCACATAAACTTGACATCCATTTTTGTTCGTTTAGACATAATCTATAAGCGTTCGGCTGTGGTTAGTAACTCTAGTTAGTTCTTTGATTATTTGCGAGATACCGTACGTATTGAGGAGGTTTTTCAATCTAGAAACATAAAAACTATCATCCGAGTTGTTCAGATTGAAGTCGCCTACTAAAATGCAATGAAGTTTTGTCAAAAATAAACTATCACAGATATCTTCAAAGTCATCTAAGAATTTTGCATCAGATCCTGAGGGCAAGTGATAAAGACATCCGACTAAAATAGGATGCTTAAGTTTCATCTTTAAAATTTTGCACCAGTAATTTCCTTCTAATATATATGTTTTATAGGCAAAGTACTCAATGTCACTTTTAATGTATATTGAGACACCACCTGTACCACAGCGTACTATATTGTAATTGGGGAATTTCAGTTCAACTTCTTCCATATCATTGGTTACTCTGGATTCACTTGGTAATATAATTTTTGGGTTGTAGCAAACTAGACTTTCTTGTAGTTGATCTTTGTTTTTAAGAAGGCTTTGAATATTCAGGTATATCATGTCTGTGTTTAATTGTATATTACAATGATTTTCTACTTTTTTTGAAGCATTATTCAAAGTTTTGTTGACAATCACAGGTTTATTATTTATATATCTTATTGTTTTTGAATGATCACCGTTTTCAATCAGGTTTTGTAATTCTGCTTTTACCCTTTGATAGTACTCTCGCTGAGCTTTAGTCTGGTCGCTAAAGATTTTTATACTTGAAACTGTTATGAGTTGCTTATTTCTGAGAACATATTTTGCATCGTCTGCCGATTGTAGTATTACTTTGACAGGACGAGTTTTGTTTGCTGATGCTTTCCCTAATTTGAACAGTTTCAAATTGTTTTTATTTACGTTAAAATTTTCAAGAACTCTTTTAACAGCTTCTGTATCTTGTGAGATTCTTTCGGCGTCTTTAATTGTGATTCATTGATGTTCAACATGATGATGTTTGATGCACGATTTTGACGCTCAAGTATTCCATGAATCACGTCATCTTTATCCATTTCTCAAACGTTATTCTGAGGCATAGGTGGCTTGGCCATTTTCATTGCTTCAACTTCAACTTCATTTCTCAGGTCGAAAATAGCTTTTATAAGAGCTGGAACTTGACGAAGACCGGACGTACATTCTTCACAGAGAAACTGTAGTGATCTCCTTTTCAACTGCATACATTTCAATTCGCTGGAGCATAATTCGGAGCAGGCTGAGTTGGTGTGAATGGGTCTCCTACATGAGTCACATTCAAAAAATGATTCATTCTTCTCAAATTCCACTTTACATTTGAAACATCTGGTTGCCATGGCAGAAAAAGTTCAGAGGAATCACCCAAAGAAAAATACTACAGATAAAATACGGGCAAATAGCTGATATCTTATCTGTGATAAGGAGATGTTGCCTTTTTTGCATAACAAGTGTTTTTGTTATTTTCTACGTCTTTAGAGGGTTATTATTCAATATTCACTTGAATTGTTGTATTTTTATGTAGCACAGTTACACAGAGCACTTCACAAACTTCACTTTGATACTTTTTCCAAATTCATTGGATTCGTATAAACTACTTAACAGTGGTATTATTGTGGAGCTATACATATGCTGTTCACACCGCCATGTCCGGCGTGCGTGCAATTTATTCGAGTATAATATTGATTGTTCATAGAAAATATCCGTTCTAGGCACGGCATCGACCTGGACAACCCTGGCCCGCCAGGCACACAGGCCTCGCTGATCGCGGCGGCCGCCCAGCAGGGCTTCTCCGTCGAGGGCACGCTCACGTCGCTCAGCCAGCTGACGAGCGGGCTGTCGGTGAGCGTGACGTCAGCGGGAGGTGGCGGCAGCGGCGGAGGGGTGTTCAGCGACTCGGGCGAGTCGACGGGGGCGCGGTCGACGGACAACGCTACGCCGCCCATGCACTTTCTGACGCCGCACGTGGAGATCAGCATGACCGACGCGCCGGTATCTGTGTTTCCGGGGTCGCCGGTGAGTTATGTGCTTTCAGACCAAGAACCAGGAGTAAGAATTAGCGACTCATAAGTTACAAGAATATTGATATTACAGGTGCGAGTGCCGGCCGCATATTCATATGTTACTGACAGACTTGTGTAGTATTCAAATACCTAGTATACTGAATCCTATTCAGAATATATTTGGGTGGTATTCGCGAATACATTCGTGTATTTGATATTCGGTATTCGACTGAATAGTTTTTTGGTCAGTACTCGGTATAATGGAATCTGAATACCGTTTTTGAATCCCAGTATTCAAATACCCACTTTGTATTCGAATCCCGGTATTCGAATCCTGTATTCGAATCTCGATATCCAAATCCTGTATTCGAATCCCGGTATTCGAATCCCGATATCCAAATCCTGTATTCGAATCCCAGTATTCGAATCCTGTTTTCGGATACTTTTCGATTATTTCTATGAATATTGCGTTATGCTTAAATGGAGCCGTCGCGATATATTATTGGTCGATCATATTGTCACACCTGGTATACCAAAGGAACCATTCAATCAATTTATTAAGAAATATCCATAAGAAAATAAAAGTCCTCAGTAGATAATATCCAAAGTCATTCACATAACATATGTAATTCAAACCCGGTTCAAATTTCACAGACAGGAACCTAGTAAGCTTTTCCGGCAGAATTCATCGGACTTGAAAGTTCACCTATGAGGTAATGAACTCGATAGGTACGATTATTGCTGATTCTGCTAACTCGGCAAGTATCGCCTATAAAACAATTGATGTATAGATTTTCCGGGGACAATAAGAATCAGACAATCAGACTCGGTACGACGTTGATTATGAGTACGGTTTTTTTTTGGGTAACCACACTAGTGAGTTAGTAGACGTCAACGCCAACCTGCTTAGCCATGACACACATCTCGTCCCCTGCCGGAGCAGCGATTGTTGTATGGACAATGTAAGTACATTTTTGAATCAAAAAACTGTTTCATTACCTTGTACAGCCCCTGTAATTGTCTCCAACCACGTTGGTAGTTAGATCCAGAGATGTAGGATGTAGGGTCACTTTAATTTAGTCACTTCACTTAACTTTTTTGTCTCACTTCACCGTTTTATGTTGCTCACTTGTTCACTGTTTTTTTATCGTTCAATAAAACTTAAATTTATGTTAAACAAAACATGCACTCTTTCCTTGCCACAATCGAGTTACGAGAGTGTGGTAGTTAGGACACCCTCTTGCTGCCAAGCATAACCCCCTAAGATCACGCAGCCGGGGAGGAAGGCCCCAATGGTCGTGACAATATATTGCCACGGCTCCGGCTTAACGCAACTTGAGCGTGTTCAAACACGTATGAACACGTTCTCGGTGGTTGTGGACGGGGGTGCTTCTGAATTCGCGATGCCGATGATCGGGTTGAATTTAGTCACTACGAAAACGCGAGATGAGACAGGTGGCTTGAGGACTTCAGAAAATTAGATTAGGTACGTAAATGTATGCACTTGTGAGTATTGTTATTCTAGTTTATAATTAATTTCAATACCTGATATAATTTGTGTGTAATACCAGTAATAGAACGTATAAAGGGTAAGTTTATTTTTCAATTATGTAGGTGTACTGTGTAGGTACATTATGTGTGAAATTCATATTCAGGGTGGTCAACCCAACCGAAAACGAAACAGAGCCATTTGCAGGGGCCTCGATACCTGTTAAAATTACAATCATTTTAGTATTTTGGGGTTATTCTTACCCTTGCTTGGGGTTGAGAGTAGTAGAATTTTAACGTTTTGCAGGTGCAGATTATCGATGGAGAGGGATATCGTTACTCAGGATTCCTAGGAAACAATTTCTGACGGTGCAGATCCAGAAGAACCGTTTGTTGGAGGTTCGTCCGACTCATTCTGACACTTTGTATCAAAACATTATTTAAATTAACTACATACATAATTTTTTTTTTTTTTTTTCAGTTGGAATAGTCATAAAATATTCATATGTGAATGAATCCAGGTATTCGAATACAGCGGAATACTTTTTTTCTTTGTATTCGAATCTCGAGTATTCAAATACAACTTAGAGTACAGTATCCAGGATTCGTATTCAAATACCGGATTTCAGTATTCGACCCAAGTCTGGTTACTGATACAACTAGCCGCTCCGGAAAGCTGAACGATTTCATTTAAGTTACAGACGTAACTAGGATTCCGTCGGTAACTTATGCCTAGATCAAGCAACGCGGTACACTTTATTATTTATTTAATAATATTATTTTTCTGCCAATATGAGGAAGGAAAATATCCTTTATGCACAAGACCTAAGGCCGAAATAAATCTGTTCCTAAAAAGTATATTTTTCAGACAATTACTATTATAGAGAACAAAGGAGACTGCTTCTTCAAACAGTCTAACCACACAAGGCCTAAGTGAACCTCCTTTCTATAGAGTATATTTTACAGAAAACTTCTTGAGATTTCTTGAATAAAAAAAAAACTTGATCTCGCGAGGACTGAACTCGAGCCTTATAGTTGTGGCAGACGGTCGCACTTGAGAACGTTTCCCAGCAAACAGCGGCAGGCTCGTTACCAATCGTTAAGTTACAGACATAAACTGAAAATTACGTCGGTAACTTATTATTACGTGTTCGGCTTCGCTCGGAAATCCGATTGTCGTTTTGTGTCGGTAACATATGAATATGCGTGCCGGCCAAGAGTGGTCGCTTCTTTATATTTTTTTGTCGAGGTGGTTGAAATCCTTTATGGACATCTAATGGGTCTAATCCCCCATATGATAGTGTGGGATTCCCATGACTCTAGCCAGGGTATACCCACTAAACACCACCTCCGACGACACTTAGGTCTAATGGCCTATTGCATCTCACCTAGTATTTTTTTATTGTGCCTACTCCATTATCTCTGTACCTTGAACAAGTCTACAAAGCCTCCACTGGATGTGAGTTAAATACTTCTGGTTCGCCGAATAGTTGCCCAGTATTCACAACATGTATATCACTGATGGAAGCAAACAGTTGCTACGCCATCTATCTGAGTATTTGGAAGCTGTCAAAGCGACCTTTTCACTCTGTTTTCATTGGCTCACATTTGTTTTTTGTTTCTACTCATTCGTCACATCCATAAAAACAAACCGCTCAGAAGTGTTCAAGTTGTTTCCATCAGGTGGAGCGACGTGTTATTTTCTATCGCGAATATCTTCAACTTTATCGGAATGACCACCATGCAGCTTTTTGAGCCAGAAAAATATCCTTTGCTGATGTAGATGACCCCCAGGAACACCATAGCGATTACGCGAATCCACTTGAGCAAAGTAGAGACTGGACAACTGATTTGTCAAACGATGTAAACAGCTCATGCTAGGTTATAATTCTCAGTAGTCAAAATATAAATGAGAACAATCATGTTGATGCAGCTAACGAAAGTAACCCCATCTTCAACGATTTTTTTGGTTGAAGGGTGAGCAAAAGAACTTCCTGCCGTGCCAGAGCGGCGATTCATCGTCGCGCATGAACGGTGATTCACCAAACTCGCCGCAATCGGCCGACTCCAACTCGAACGCCCCCTCCAGCAGTCACATACAACAAGGATCGCTCAGGATCGACCAGGAGACGAATATCACGCCGTCCATATCGCTCATACCGATCAAGCAGGTACTTTTTGATGTTTCTCTTGTTGAAGATTTTTCTTTTCTTTAGTTCATGTTACTGGTCTTGGCGTCTACTTCATAACCATCACGTTGAATGAATTAACAGACAGTATTGGTCCGGTTTTTACATAGCAGACGTCGAATTTGATTGGTAATAACATTGGAAAAGATATTGCCATGATACTATGGCATTGTCTTTCCAAATTAAAAGCTAGTTAGTATTCAAGACAACCTAGTCAGAAAGCTAGTGACCTCTATCCCGATCTTTCCGAACTAATTCATAAATTTATTATCCTAGCTCCTAAGAACATATTCCAAATTCCTGTCAAGATCTACTTTTCTGTCAAGTTCATAATCAAACTCTTCTCATGAAAAAGAAACTGATGTCGTTCATGCAATGATTAAATTTTTGCTCAATTGATGTTTTTAGAATTTGAGTAGAAACTGGAAACGCATCAGTGATGTGATAAAACATTTACTGTTCATACTTTGAAATGATAGCATCCAAGCTAAGAATAAAGAGGTGGGAAATGCTCATTTGCTTTCATATTGTTGATAATATAAACCTACTTCATTGTTCGTGGAATATCAATTCATTGTTATGAAATAAATAATACCTATAGGCTGAGGAGGAAACTTTTACCTGATGTTGTTGGAAGAGAAAGGAGTGTTAAATAATTCACATATCTCCACCTCTTGTAGAAGTGCAAAATTGACACCAAAATCGAACAAACAACAACCCAACAACTAACTTGAAATTAGACATTCAAATGAAAATTGTCTGAAGGACGTTTTGAAAACTTCAACATAAAATTAATGAATATTCTATTGAGCTGTCGTGCTGTCGATGTTTCCACTGAGCTAGCTCCATTGACAGGCTGACATTTGGGTCAATGAACAGACAATATTATACCTTTCGCCTACTTACTAAGTTTTTATTTAGAACAGTGTTCTGAGTAACCTTTAATGATACATATATTTCTGTTCAGGTGACCATAAGAGTATGGCCAGTTGCAGGAAGCATTTGAGAGACGATAAAATATTTGATTTGTTTCTATGGCAACCAGCCTTTCTATTCTCACAGGGGTAAAATGAACACCGCCCCATGAAGGCTCATTCACATAAAGGCAGTGGCAGTGGCCCTAGCTCCACCCCTTTCTGAAGCCGTGTGAATAGTATTGCAGTAGCAGTTGCTGAGGTGACGATAGTTAGTGTACCTTGATCGATTTGTTTATATAATATACTGAGAAAATTGAATCCATCAAGGTACTCTGGCAAAATGGTCACATGTGCTTGGTCACCCATCTCTCTCTCTTTCAAAGCTATGGCAATATGGCAATGGCTGTTCCTTTCCCCCCAGTGACACCATCATTATTCGATTTTTTCAAAATAAAGAAGAACATGGACAAAATTACTACAGAGAATAATAAAAGATAAGTTTCACTGTTATATTGGTGGAAGAAAGAGCCTTAAAAACAGGTCTTCCTATTATTTATTGGAATGATGTGATATTCTATGTCATAAATGTCATTGACAGATAACCTTTAAAAATGTTTAAATGAAATTACAAATTCTACCATACTTATTTTGACATATTTTGTTGATATCGTTGATTTGACACTGTTGAATTCAAAAATAGTTCAGTGGCACAAACTGGATGTTAAGACAAGGAGAGGTTTATCGAACCTCTTTATATTTCAATGCGCCCACGTTGGTAGCATTGAAGAGGAAGATGGAAGATGAGAGAACTTTCTTCTCCCTCGTTCAAGGTAGAGAAGAGGTCAATTGACGCCAATATTCACTGCAAAATGCGTACAATTTCAAGCTTTTTAGCAGTGTGACCTTCAAATGTTTGCGTCATCCAAATTTTGTTTGTTCACTATTAATTAAGTCACAGTGGGGGTAACGCTACTGCCACTGCTTTCATCTGGTATCGCCTCAACTTAACTGCGAAACTGTAAAAGTGACAGTCGTGAGCTCGTTGACAAATGTATCACTCGCAGTGGCTATTACAAAGAGTTTCTCGGCCATGGTCTCCTTTCATAGTTCTCTCGAAAGACGATCGAAATGTATTTCTCATTCTGTTCAGGAACCAGGTGAGGAGTACGAAACCAAACAACGGAATGGTCCGTCGCCTCAGATGCAATCGGCGACTTCTAGCAGTTTGAGCTCGCTGATCAAGGTGTCGCCGTTGAAGAGCCTGCTCAGGGATGATTTGAAGAGGAAAATCATATCAAGGTGTGGATCTTCTTCGAGGTAGAAGCTATGTTCTTGTATGCGTATTATTTTTGATTTAGTCATCGCTATTCTAATCCTAGTGGCTAGTGTTCAAATGTTCCAGATAAGAGTAAAGCTGGCGAAAAGAAAGATTTGTATCAGCCTCTAGTGAATGAGTTGACACTAAATTATTGATCTGACAGAGGTATTGTAATTCGATTGGTCCTTCTGAGTTTTTTTTTATTTTTTCAATCTTCCAATGATTATTCACAAAAATAACCAAAGTCTAATACAATGAAGTTTTCCGGTTTTTCAGGTAGTCAACTAGTATTACTGAAATGACGATCCTTACGCTAGTACACCATGACCTATAATGTTTCTAAGGAATGTACAACTTTCTAATAATAACATTATCGATCCCAAAAAACATACAATGTTTATAGGGGAGAAACAAAAAAAATTGAATATGCAATACAATAAAAGATGAACATTTCACTCAGAATTAATTGATACAAGGAGAAAGTTAAATTGATAAAATATATTTCTTCAGTTCACTCTTGGATTTTGTGACGGACCTAATAGATTTTATTCTGTTTGGTCGACTATTATAAATATTGATTCCACAAAAAAATTATATTTTCCCGAATTGGGTTTTTATTTTGACAGTTTTCAAATGTTCGAGTTCTCTAGTGTGATGCTCACGGGTATCAGAATTGATATTGAAAGTAAGATTCGAGTGCTTTTTCTGATTTTTAATGAAATTGATGAAAATGCACACTTTGATTTTGAAGAGAAAGTCAGTATGGTATCTAGCAGATCCCTTGGTTTGTATAGTATAGATGTTGATTCCAGAAAGGATAGTTTATAAATACATTTTATGGCTTTATTTTGAAGAGATTCCAGTCATTAACATTAGAAGGCCGTTATTGCAGATCGGCCCTGTGTTGTTCATAACTTTTCGTAATCCTGCTGAAAGATTACATTTTGATTCCGACGAAAGAACAAACCACATACTTACCTCGTAATTCCATCAAAAAATCCCAACATCGTGTTGTCATGGAACAGCTTAACAATATCACAATAATATTATAACGTCTACTGGTCGTTAAACAATGGCAACGTGACGGATGCTGTCAACAATAACTTTTCAATTGTCAGCATTACGAAAAAGATGTTTTGAACATACCGCTGATTCACCTATAAAAATGTAGTTCAATATACCGAATATACCCAGTCAAATCACTAGTAAGTTTCCTGAAGTAATATTGATGATCAAAGACCCATTGCAATATCAACAGAAATAATGACGATTATAATCACATTGACTAATTATAAAATGATGATGATCTCTATAGCATCAACAAAAACATTTGGGATTTTCTTTGGAACAATTCACGCCATCAGACGCCATCTCATTTGGAATATACTGTATATTAAATGACCAGACTGTAATGAATGTCACTAAACTTTGCATTTGAATGATATCACAATTATGTGCAGTTTGTTTTGTGCACACTAAGCCATATATTTAGTCGATTCATCTGATAAAGACAAAGTAAGCGACGTTGCCATTATACTTTCTGCAGCAATCCCTGCTGTATAAATTATGGAAAGAAATGAAAACAAAAAAGTGATGAACTGTCTTATAGGAGATCAATTGATCTATGAAATTGTCAAATTGGGTATTTTTAAAATCTGTTGATTTCAGAGTGGAGAGCGGATCAAAGTTTGCTCATAACCTAGAAGGTCATGAACAACTTTTTATATGCAGTGCATACTGATGGTTTGTTTGGTGCAATAGGATGATACAATAACTGGAACAAATATCTAATGCACTGTAGTTATCCAGAGATGACAGATATTTTTTGGCATAACTATTCAGTTCCACTGGAATTCAGTACCGCGAATAATCTTTCGTAGTTTTCAAATGAATCCATCAAACTGAGGATCATGACATAGATTTCGGGAGGATGTAATCCAATGATCTGCGTGGCATTTAGCCAGGAAAGTAGTTGTTTACCTCTCGTTATCTACCATTTTCGTTCATTTCATGAACTAGTATGTGGTAATGACTTGAATTTCTCTCTCTTTGTGAATGCAAAAATATTGGATTCATGCAATCAAACGGGAGGACTACTGGTCTGACCTGCTGACGAAATATGATCATGTGTGTTCTAGAAATTTTCAATCTATTAGCAGTATTAGCTTCTATTGCAGAAGTGACAGAAGGAATTTTAATGAGAAATGACAAAATTAGTGTGAGAAACTATTTCAATCCTTTGATTCCTCTGTAACCATAAAAAAAGTTAGGTTGTGTTTCAATGTTTTACAGAAGAGTGAGGTTGTGTTTCAATAATTTACCTCCAGGGTCAGTCATCGTGCACCGCAACTATAGGGAAACTGAAAAGACAAAAAACAGAATATATGTCTCATTCATTCATTCACTCAAGCCATTGTAATATAGAAAATAGAAAAGGACAGAAGTTCAGGTGTGTCCGAACTCTTATCTAACTAATACCATCCAGTGACTCTTGTTTTCTCTACTGTCGCCTACATTTCAAGTCACCAAATCACGAATGCAAGAACTTAATTGTTGTTCGAACAGGGCCAGGTCGACAGCATCCCCTAGCACCAACCCTGAAACCTTTGCGTGCTGAATCAGCTTTGGCGAGATGTAGTTCTTTTTCTGTTTTGATTTTGTTCTTTGTTTCTTCATTATCTTCACAATGAATTTTTATATATTTCATCCATTTCAAGAAAAAAGGATTAATATCTAAGCAAATGCACTTAACTTGTACACACTGAGACCACTTTTAGGAATACGAGGTTTATCCAGTAGTTTATATTAAAAAATCGTAAACAAAAGTGAACTTTATGGACTTGATCCATTTAATTTTTGAAACAACTAAAGAAAGTATTCAGAAACCAAATGGAAATCGACTCAATCCGCTTAATACATAAATTGTGACTTCATTCATTTTTCTACTGAAATAAACAACGTTTCATGTTTCTGTAAAGGCGAATGCATCAAAAAAATTGGACTTGATCCTCTTTTCTTCTGAACCATCCAGCTATAGCCTAGTTTTCTCTACTCCCGCCTACATTTCAAGTCATCAAATCATGAATGCAACTGTATTGTTGTTTGAACAGGGCCAGGTCGACAGCATCCCCTAGCACCAACCCTGAAACCTCCCCCAACGACTCCTCCAACACGAACGGCGTCATAACCTCCACCGGCAGCGAGAACCCCTCGGACTCCGCCCTCTGGCGGTCGATCACCAAACGCTCCTTGAGCGGCCTGCAGTGCATCTTCTGCGGCATAGGATTCCCCGACCAGACGCTCTATTTCCTGCACAAGGGCTGCCATTCGGACGCGAACCCTTGGAAGTGCAACATTTGCGGCGAGCAGTGTTGCAACGTGTACGAGTTCAATTCGCACCTGCTGAGCAAGAGTCATCAGTAAGGGAAGAGAGTGAGAGAGATGGTTATTACGTCGTACTTTTTTTTAATTAATTTTGTTTGTTTATAGAAGGTGAGTTGGCTAAGGGTGATGTGTTTTCTTTTCGATTTCTACACTTCCACAAGGTTGAAGCAGTTCATTCAGAATTTAATATCCGTTTGCTTTTCGGTTTGTTTAGAACCGTTACCATCGAGATTATAAGGCCTGCTTGCTTCCGTGGTGACGTCACCTTAGTGAGGCCTAACCAGCGAATCGAATCAACAAGCGCTTATGGCGCTATAAGGCGACCGCGTATTTCAATTTTAGTCATAGATCATTATTGAGCCGATTTTGCTGTTTTTTTGAAGGGCTTCCGGTTAAAAAAGGATGCCAGTCGTCAACTGAGCCCTTCTTCGCATCCCATTCGGTTTTATTATGGAAAAACGGAGTTTCAAAGCAAACACCAGAATTAAACACAAATACCCACCTACAGCAACCCATTCGAATTAAATATATTGGCAACAATTGTGGTGAAGATAAACTTCACACCTACTTATACAGGGCCCGCAGAACATAAACTTATCGTGAGATTGATCGAAAGAAAATTGTGGAAGTATTTTATTTTGATAGACATGCCGTTTGTTATATTTACCTATATTTATCTTGGAGAATTACTATTACCAAAAATTAGCCAGTGAGTTCTTTCAATTTCCTGTTGTTGGATTTTTTACCCAATTGATCGTTAGACTTGAAACAGTAATTTTTAAGGGTAAAACTGCATTTATCATGCGATGGTTTTTTATTTTCGAAAATTTTTTTTGGTACTTACGTATTTTTGTCTGAAAAACACGAATTTGATAATGAAAATGTGAACAAACCACTATTTATCGAGATATTTCAAGAAGTTCGAAATTTCCCCTCCTTTCTCCCCTGGTGTTGGGGGCATTTAAAGCTACTTGCTCTTCTTATTTTGTCATTGGACACCTTATATACTCATGATGTACTTCGATGACAAATTTTTATATAGAAAATTCAACAGGAAATAGGATTTTTATGGCGAGTTTTTCATATTCAGTGAACATGCATTCCAGATGACGGCCATTTAATTAATAGTCAATCAAAATACGAGATGTCAAATGTCAATAGATTGCTTTGGAATTACATCACACACGCCTTTATTTTAAATGATATTCTTCCTTCTTTTCACTAAATATGGATAAATCTCAAGAAAATCATATTTCTAGTTGAATCATATAATAGAAAAAAATGTCTCATACATTGTGATATATATATAAATTGTCCAATATGATGAAGAAAGAAGGGAAAATTGTTCTGAATGCCATCCAGAAGACAGGCGAAAATGAAGGTGAAATTTGTAACTTAATAGTCAAATATCTTAATAAATAATGGTTTGTTCACATTTTCATTATCAAATTCGTGTTTTTCAGACAAAAATACGTAAGTACCAAAAAAAAATTCTGAAAAAAAAACCATCGCATGATAAATGCATTTTTACCTTTTCAAGAAAATTTCCTCGAATTCAGAGATGATTTTGTTGAATATAATATACGAATACAAAACTAACTGCACAATCAAAGCTTTTCTCTTTTTCCTCTACACATACTTTTTATGAGAGTAATTGTCTTCTATTATTAATTCATCATTTTAAATTAAGCTCTGTTTACTACTGTACTTAGATGGAGTGAAATCCTCGCGGTGAATTGCATATTCCCACTTTTTCGATAGTTCCTTGTCCAACGGGAAACTAAAAGCATGAACCTTTGGAACACCCACATAATTCCCCCGACAAAAGGGAACACAACACTTGAAAGGCATTGTTTTTCGCCTATCACAACACAAAATATATCACAAAAAAGTAATTTTTCCGACAATTAATCTGGAGAATAAACAACAAAAGAATTCGGGGCCGCTTCAAAAACATACGTGAATCACCGATGAATTAACACGCGTTAGTCGACAAGCGGTAAAACACTGGCCTCTCTTAGGTGACATCACGAGCTGCTCACGACAGAGTCTGCTGGCCTTCTTATCTCGATGGTAACATTAGAACCCACCTACCGACTGCGCCATGTTTAGTGGATTTGTGTTCGGACTTGATCTGGTTTATCGTATCTTTAAATATGTGAATGCACTCTTGGTTGGTATTAATTACAGGCATCTGTGGTTAGTTATTCTGAGATTATAAAATTGTCGGTTTGTGGAGAACCCACCTACCGACTGCGCCATGTTTAGTGGATTTGTGGTTGGAGGTGATCTGGTTTATCGTATCTTTAAATATGTGAATGCACTCTCGGTTGGTATTATTTACAGGCATCTGTGGTGAGTTATTCTGAGATTATACAATTTTCGGTTTGTGTAGAACCCACCTACCGACTGCGCCATGTTTAGTTGATTTGTGGTTGGAGGTGATCTGGTTTATCATATCTTTAAATATGTGAATGCAATCTCGGTTGGTGTTATTTACAGGCATCTGTGGTGAGTTATTCTGAGATAAAATTTTTATGATTTTTTTGCCATTTACACAGACCTTCTTTCAATAATGAGTCACACCACATTCCTATACAGTCTGCTTTTTAAAAAAGCAGCTAACTGGAATTTTGATATTTTGCATTCGATATTAAAAACTATAATTCAAATAAAACCATAAAGTGATTTATTTGTTGTAACGACTGACTCAAATTTGAATGATATTAAAAATAATTAATTCACATATTTCTACAATAAAAATAATGCTCATCATCGTTGATCCGGGAAAAAAATGCAAGCAATGAATCAAATGATATTCTTAATTCCATCGGAATAGTATTTTATGCAACAATCATGTGTTAATAGCCATTTTTTTCTATGGTCGACAAAAAATAAAATGAATACAAAAATTAATTTCAAACCAATTTTATATTTCAATCTATTCGGATATCTTCAGTACATGAAGTACCTGTAGTTTTGACGTGATGTGATTGAATATCAATTAGAATTAAACGTCAAATAATTCATAAAAGCATGTACAAGCATAGACCCCTTGATTATACACAAGTACGTGTTTCTGTAGGCCGAAAATTCGTTTCATAATGAAAAGTACGTGTCTTCATCGTTCAAAATCTGTATCATAATGAAAATTGTAATACGGGAGTAGAAAAATATTTCTCTATGCTCAGATGTAACAACCTTTATTTGACTTCAATAATTTTGACAAAGAAACTTTTTTTCAATCAATTCAATCAATTCATTGTAGCAGATGATGTAAATGAAAAAAACAACAGCAACAAGCAAACCGTCGTGTGAGAGTGTTTTTTTTTTGGAAAATGAAAATAATCACCCTTGTGCTGCCAACCATTTCAGCCTTAAAGTGTCACGTCAATCCGTTCTTACTTATAATATGGAATTTTTCGAAGATTTTTGATAATTTCACATTATGATTTTGATGGAGGAAACTCAATGAAGGATATTGAAAAATTGTTGATATTTATTTCAAGAGTGACTTGAAATTTGCAATTTAAAATAATCATACAGAAAGTACAAATTTTACAATCAAACAATGATTGGCTGAAATCAAAGCTCAAGAGGAACTGACTATCATCTAAAGAGTGCTGAAAAAACTGTTGCGTCTTGATTCTAATTCGCAAGTATTGCACCTATATTTGTCCTGGACCAATCAGCTCCTATCTCCCCCATGCAAAGTCATAAAAGCGTCTTCCATGCGTCGGAGCGTGAAACGAATTTTGAGAAGACTTCACAAAAATGACAGGACACGACTTGCATTCCTACAATATATCTATGGCTTCAAAAAGCGTCACGATTTATCGGGTTTTTTCTCAAGGTCTATTAACTTCTATAAGGTTGCCTCATAGTATAGCATTATGGTGCGGGGGTGCGCGGAGGGCCGTGACGTCAGTGTTTCCCCACCACGTGATTGTAGATTTCGTTTGTGTCACTGTCAAATGAATTGAAAAAATTTTTGAATTTGAATTCGAAAGAATCGCGAATTTTAGACTTTAGTTGAAAACAGGGTGACAAGAAGACTGAAGATATCTTTGAAAGAGTGTGAGAGGTTGTATAATAATATGGTGTAGTATTATTCAATGCTGGTCACATCATAAATATCATAATATTATTGTGTGGAGTCAAGAGTGGATATAGAACAAACAAATGTTATGAAATGCCTGTTTGGCAGCCTCCACATGAGATTCAGATAATTCCAAAGGAAAATGATGAGCTGTGGCATTGGCAATGTGAATGTCCCTGTGAAGCAGGCATGTCACGGTTTTGTATACACATTTTATAGGGACTTATATTGACAGGTAGGAAGGTGCACTTTTGATCTATCACACACACAGGTAAAAAATACATGAAATTTCAGGAATGAAGACTTGGAATATGTGAAGCTGCATATATAACAAACAGAAGTGGTGAAAATTGAAAAAAGAGAGTAGATCAATCAATGATCTATTATACAGCCAAACCATTTCAATAGTTCTGCTACCTGCTTATTAAAAGAAGGAAAGTGACCCCCTAAAATCATTCTTCCTTTATATAATTGAAGTTAATTTTACAGGGTATATCAGTCTATTTTGTTTTTTGTTTGGAAGCCAATGAACTCAATGTAAACAACTAGCTATTGTATGGTACTCAGGAACACTGATGGTGAGTTTATTGAATTTCACTTATACTTGCTACTTCATTTTTACATGTAGCAAGGAGTCTTGGGAAAAAAGGCAATAACTTCTTCTTTCCAAAGGATTTTTCAAATAAATTTGTTCAGCATGGAGTTGAATATGAATCCAAAGCTCTTTCAAAATGTTCATTGAAAATTATATTGAATTTCAAATCATGCAAACAAATTTGTGTCTCAATATTTTCCATGGTTAGGATTTTCTCAATATGAAATTATTTTTCAGGAAGGAAGACCATGGAAATAATTGAAATAAGTGTCCTTACTGAGGTCCTGACATAGAGGTTTGTTAAATAATGTGTATTACATTCAGCTTGAATTATTTTCTCAAAATTTTAGGTAAAGGTTCAGAACATTTTGTGGAACAATGCCATTTCTTGATAGGAGATGGTATAAAAAATGTGAAG